CAGGGAGCCCGATGCGGGGCTCGATCCCAGGACCCTGGGATCATGACCTGAGCCGAAGGCAGACGCTTAACCGACTGAGCCACCCAGGCGCCCCGGGTTCTTGTACTTTAAAGGGGAAAAGTATTTGCACAACCCACTAATGTGCCTCAGTTCCCACAGATGGTGAGATACGGGGGGTGTTGATGTCTGACAGGAACTGTGACGTTTAATCTTTTCATTCAGGTATCAGCTTGTGCTTTTCGGTTCAAGTTTACCGCTTTTGTCTCATCCCCCGGTGGTTTCTGGTCCTGCCTTGGCACTGTGGTTGATGTGTGTTAATATGCATTAACTCTCTGTACTGTTTCTTTGATTTTTTTTTTTCTGAGCCAGCTTCCCAGCCACTGTTAAAAATAAACGCTATAGGGGCGCCTGGGTGGCTCAGCCGGTGAAGCGTCTGCCTTCGGCTCGGGTCATGATCTGACCCGACGCCAGACGCCTGTTAAACTGGGGGTGTTGCTCATCTTTATTGAGCAGGAGTCGGGTTCTGATCGGGGTCCTGGGATCAAGCCCAGCGTCAGGCTCCCTGCTCAGTGGCGAGTGTGCCTCTCCCTCTGCCCCCCTACCCCGCTCCTGCTCACTAGCTCTTTTTCAAATAAATAAATAAAATCTTTAAAAAAAACCCTGCTGTATTACCAGTATGAAACAATAAAATCGTCTCCTGCACTTAAGAATATTTCCTTGTGTTTTGCCTCATATGCATATGATTTTTGTCAAGTGCCGGTTGTTAAGTTCTTAAGGAATGTGTAAAGGTCGAGAACGGGCTAGGTCTGTCCATGAGTTTTTGTCATATGTCGCACACTGAACACATCCCTTCTCGTCGGTCACCCCCTTACCCCGCCCCCGGATGCGGCGCCGTTGGCTTTGGCCAGACCCAGCATTTATTGCGAGTCTGCACCTTCTTTGGTGACACAGTGGAGTGATGGGGAGTGTTGTAAGCAGGTCTTCTGTGGTCTCCTGTGCTCCACCAACTGCACCAACCAGCTTTTGCGAGGGGAGTAGTCCCAGCCCCACGGGACTCCACACGACGATCCTGAGTCGCATGTGGAATGACATCCCTGAATTAATTAAACATCCACTTTAGATTTGCAGATAAAGTAACAGGTCCCTCGGTATTTGTGTACTTTCCGGCCAATTGATGTATTTAGAAATTGCAGGATATATTTGCAGCTGTTAGGCCCTCAGGGACGGGCTGCAAATACATTTATTTATCCACTAGCTTTTATCCAGGCGGTGAGTTATGAGATGACCTCCATCTCAGCAAAATAAATCCTGGTATCCAGAGTCCAGCCAGCCGCATCTATTGCTGGATAGGGAAAGTGGATATTGAAATTTGTTTTCTTGGGAAGGCAGGAAGGCTCTATCTTGCACACATAAGGTTCCTGTGAGTGGGTTATAAAACTGCCAGACGCCTATTAAACTGGGGGTGTTGCTCATCTTTATTGAGCAGGAGTCGGGTTGTGATCGTGTGCAGGGCTGTGTTGGACCTTTATATGCACGCATTCCCAGGATCTGCGGCTTACCACCAGTACCTGATAAGCTGAATGCTCTTGGGCGAGGAGACAGGGACGAGTGGTGTCAGCCACAGGGTCTCCCCGAAGCCCTGCGAAGTAGCTCCAGGAGCAAGAAGCCACGTTTCCTGAAGATGCACCTGCTGTGTGTTGCAGATGACTGATTGCCTCCATTATTCTGCTGTGCTTCTGTTAGAGCACCTAGGAAGATCAAAGCAGGGCAACGTGAATTTTTTTGCTTAGTGTAAATTTAAGCGTGGGCCACAAAGCCTTGTGTCCTTCCCTCGGAAAAGCAGTTTAGCTCGCAGAAAATAATTAAATCCACAGTATCTTGCAATAATGAGAAATTTGAAACGGCGAGGGTTAATTATTTCAGTCCGACTTTAGTTACCCAATAAAATATTTAAGGAGAGCGTCCAGACAGTGCCCAAGTTAATTTACAATACCATCAGCTTTCAGCGTCTCTGTCCTTTTCCCCCCGCAGGATCATGCAGATCTGCGAAGCCATTTCTTCACAGTTGGGATGAAGCTAGAAACAGTGAATTTGAGCGAGCCGTTTCATATCTGTCCTGCATCAGTGACCAAGGTGAGCTTTCCTCCCTTGCTCTCCGCCTCCCGCCGATCTGCTCACAGTGGGCCAGATGAAAAGTGCTGGTGCAGGGGCGGGCCACAGTGCAGTGAACAGGACAGCACACCAGCCGGGGAGCACCTTCTCCCCCGGCCACGCTGTCCTAAGCGCCCCTTTTGTCACTGGTCACACAGAGCCAGGCCGGTCACATGCCTCCTGTTGCAGCAGAGATTGGAGTTAATACAACACAGACAGGACTGTCGATGAGGGTGTCCCTGAGTGACCTGGAAGGAGGTGCAGGTGCGCAGCTGAGTTTATAGCAGTGAACTCGGCCACGAATATGTGCCACCTTCTGTGGTTGGCCAGGGTCATATCCACGCGTCTATTTGTTCCCATTCTCGTAGCACGAACTGCTCGGCAGTTGCACACGGTAATCATTGCAGTAGTAACTTGGTTCTCGTCCGCTGACAGTCCTTGGTGTGATCAACTTGCATTCGGGAAATGCCGGCCAGGGACCCATCTCCAGTGTCTGTCCCCACGTCCGCTTCCTTTTTGCCACCGGCTTTTCCTTCACTAAAGGAAGAGCCTGCCTCTATGTTTCGCAGATTTGAAATGAAATTACCTTTGAACGTGAAGTTATTTTTACGACGGGCTGATGGTCTTTCAGATTGTAATTTCCCTTGGCCGTGCAGATAATCTCACGGAAGTCACCTGTGGAAGTCACCCCTACAGTACGCGTTTCCACCTTAAGTGTCCTCTAACAGGTGGCGGGGGAAAGCGAGAAACCCAGCATTCTTACCCAGTGTGTGTTTTAGTTAATGGCCTTTTGTGAGGGAACTTAATTAACGGTCCAGAAGTCAATTCCATTTTAATTTCTTTTACCAAGGAAGACTGGATTTGTTAATACAGTGATAAGTGTCTTAGAGTCATTTTGTATGCTCTTTTTTAAATTCATGATTTGGTAAAATTGAGAAATACAGTGGTGATAATGTATTTCAGAGTATGGAAAATGGTTATAATCATGGAATGCCTTTTTCTTTCTTTTCCAAATATTTTTTCTTTAGAACATATAAATTACTTCTATGTAACGCTTACAGTAATTTATGTAAAGAATAACTGCCCGCCCGAGAAAAATACTGACTTAGGCTTTGCAGTGTGGTTTTTGGGGTTGCAATTTATGCCCTCACAGTCATACACCGTGCATTAAAGCCTTTTTATTTAAATTGACCTTTGGGGTTCTTGAATGTGTATTCTGGTAGGTGCACATTTTCCCAGAACTGATGAGTGGTATCTTGCGGAATCCTGGCCAGGATTTCCCTTTGTTCCAGCAGCAGCCGATACGGTGAAGTCAGCTGCCGGTTTACCTGGATGCATTTTACCCTGTCCTCTTTCTAAGAGGCTAAGTGTCAGCTTCGCCTGGTGTTTTTATAGTAAAGGAAACAGGTGCAGACGTGCTGAGTCCTGTCAGTAGTGAACTCACACTTCCATGCCTGTAAATAATTGTAATCGATCATGTTAGCATGTGGCATGCTACTTATGGTTAGGTTCAGCCCAAATATCCTCGTCTTGTTGGATAGATTTCCAGTAACAGTAGTTTGGTTTCCTGATAAATAATTTTATCTCTAAATAAATCTTCTTGGGGTTGGGGCCAGGGAGGATATTTTCTCTGATTTTTTTTTTAAGGTACACTTTTTCTTTTTCATTTTAGTTTTTCTTACCCTTTTTACCAAAGATAACACACTCAGTCTTTCAGTTCTGCATGCATCCCTTTTTCTTCTCCTATTGGCCTTCTGTTGTAGAACACATGGATTGAAATGTGGGCTTTGGCCTCTTAGCACGTAGATGGGCATGTCCCCAGGTTCAAGACTCCCTATGTAGAGTGAAATATCAGGATATTCCTAATGTAGTCGGTATTTATAATTAAACACATTCCTCCTAACATTGGAAAACGTTTTAGAATATTATGTTTGAGAATATAACGTTGCACTGTTACTACTCATCATGATGAAATTTTCATTTTCATTTTCCTCGAGGCTTTTCTTCATGGCACACCTGTTGAAGGAATAAATATATAACATTAAAGCCAATAGACAGGAAAGCAGTTAACTGTGTCACAGATCCTGGAGGAAATGCCCAGCCTTTAGCCATACAGTGAGATTATAGATTATGTTTTTGGTGGTCCAGAACAGTATGATACTGACAGATGATGATGATGATGACCTATCTGTGTATGTGAAATCTATTGTATTGTTTAGATAAACAGTCTTGGTTCTGTTTCTTTTATGGCTAGCTCTGAGCCACATAGTCTTGGGCCGGTTGCTTACCTGCTCTAGGTTTTACTTCTGAGACCTGCAGGTTTTAGACCCGATCAGTGTTTCTGGACATGTGAACCATAACTCTGATGGATTTGAAGAAACTGATTTACCTATTTTCTGAAGTACGTACACACGAATGTGCATTTTAATAGGTTTTAGAGATTCCTTAGTGCACATCCTTACAGGGTCCAGTGGTGCTAAGAGATTCAGCCACCAGAATACCGCACTTTTAATATACATTTCTGTGTGTGTGTGTGTGTGTGTGTGTGTGTGTGTCCGTGCACGCGCATATGAGACTCCATCCCATCCCATTGGCATTTTTAAGCACTATTCTGGACACTGGGAATGTAGACAAAAGCCCCTGCTTTTACAAAGCTTATATTTTAATGGGGGGGGGCGGAGACAAACAAAGTCAGTAAATCCATATAGAATGTTACGTGTTCAACGCTAAGGAGAAAGACACAGCAGGGAAGGGACGAGCGGAGGGTGGAAGGCCAGAGTGCGGGATGTGGTTTTAAATCAGGCTGCAGGGAAGATCTCTGTGGGAAGGTGAGGTTTGGTCCTTTGCTCTGTAAAGTCTACTTTCAAAGGCAGACCTCAGGCAGCACAACAATAGCCGTTTACCGGAATTAGCATGGAGAAGAACAAAAGTGAGTGCACTCTGCTGCTTTGCTTTTAATTAGGCTGCTTCCAGAAGATACTTCGGAAATGAAGCAGCCAGGAATCAGAGCTTTAGTAAGTGTTAGGGTTTCCTACGCAAGACTGGTTTATGTCTGTCGAGCTCGTAAAGTGATGCCTTTCTCCGTGGCCTGTTTCACATACTAGGTTCTTTAACACCATCATGCTTTAAAGTGCTGGGTCCATCTCAGTTTTGCTTTCTGCTCTTCCTTGTTCCTAGTTCTTCACTGATGTTTTCTTTTTCCCTACATGCAGTGGCTGTGTGTGCAGTTCCTGTGTACAAAGCATTTTCTGTGCATTGTGGGAACACCCTGATGAGTAACAAAGAGGAGACTGCCCTCAGAGGATCTGTTGGGGGAGACCGATTTGGGATCAGCCCCCAGGAAGGAATGAGGACTTTCAGGACAGAGGTGCAGGGGTGAAGCTTTGGGGGCACAGAGCAGGGACCCTACACTCGAACCGGAGTGGTCAGGGAAATGTTCCAGCAGCATTGACTTTCAGGACGCACCTTGAAAAATGCACTGTGTTCTGAAAGAGCTTCAGCACAGTGGGTGTTGAGGCTGGGAGGATGCAGGGATGTGCCTGGGGGTGATTCTTCTTGGGCTGGAGCCTGGGGTCGTTGCAGGGCGGGGAGGCCGGATGAAGCCAGAAGTCCCCAAGCCAGCTGGTGGAGCTTCTTGAGTGATCTGGTGTGAGCTTATGGGTCCCTGCCGTGGACAAGGAGAAACCGCTGACGTTCCAGGGCCCATCTTGGCGTTGCTGTAGGCCTGGCTTTGTCTTCCTGCATTAAGTCTGGTTTTCTTCCAGCCCTGACTGTCGGTTGACTTCTCTAAAGTCACCCATGTTGTTTCCTTCTCTGTTTTGTATGTGTCCTACTCATTCACTTCTCTTTCCATTAAAATGATCGGAGTGATCAACTCTTAACTGATTAGCAACTGGATCAATTTAGTAATACACATCGAGGTGCTGGTTTGTGCTGAAATTGTTTTGATGGAATGTATTTATTGCCTTTGGAAGCTTGCTAGCATTTCGTACTAGCTTCACATGAAAATCCCACGGAATTAACCCTCGGCTCTGTGGTTTGTTCTTTCTTTCAGGTTTTTAACAATCATTTTTTTCAAGTGACTATTGACGACCTAAGACCAGAACCTAGTAGACTCTCAATGCTGTGCCATGCAGATTCTTTGGGGATTTTACCAGTGCAGTGGTGCCTTAAAAACGGAGTCAATCTCACCCCTCCCAAAGGTTCGTATTCTGCGAAAACGTGCAGGGTTTGGGTGGTTCAGGAGGGCGTCCTACTGTCACTGAAGTGTGCCTTTGTTAATCTCGAGAAGTTCAGGTTGTAAATGACTTCAGCATTGTGGGAGAGGTGTATCTGGCAGGTGGCTTGACACAGGAGTCTATCCCAGCTCCCTCCCCTGGTGAGGTGCGTGACTTTGGGCTTCTCCAGACGTCCACTTCTGTCCACCCCAGTTCCCTGTTGGTCATCGTGTGTGCTGACAGAGGGCACAACATTGCTAGGTGATCAGCACTCAACACTTAAACGTGTGTGAGAAGTGGTTTTAAAAATGCAACAAGGGGCGCCTGGGTGGCTCAGTTGTTTAAACATCCGACTCCATCTCAGCTCAGGTCTTGATCTCAGGGTTGTGAGTTTGAGCCCCGCGTTGGGCTCCACGGAAGAAGCATTTCTTTCCATTTTTATTTCCAATAATTTAGATTTTCCCCAGAGCTCGGTCACGCTCTGATAGCCAACAGTTTGATGCACTAACACATTAAAATAATTCAGTCTGGAGCCGGGTTGCACATAATTTCAAATTGGGACCATGTACCGCATTCTTGTTGGTAAGAACCGCGCTTGTGGTTCTGTAATGTGGTTTGCTGTCCCTGACAGTTGTGATGTTCATGCAGGGAAGAGAGCAGCCAGATGGAAGGAGAGGGGGTGGGAAGGAAAACAGAGGGCATGATAGAATAATAGAAGATGAAATGGGAAGAGATGACCTAGAAGAATAAACCTTACAGCAGGATTTTAACAGCGACCCACAAATAATACAGGGGTTCTGTGCTGACCTTTCCAGCTCACCAGGGACTGGATCATGGGTAGTGTTCACCGTGCTGGGAGGTTAATGCCCTCACGTTAGGGTCCAGATGCAGCCTTTCATCATGCTGCTCCTGCCTCACTTGTCTGTCCCGAGCTCCACTGGGCTCCCTCCCCCCTGTCCTCCATGCTCATCTCCACTGGGGAGACACCTGCTGAGTGTTTCCACCTCTGCCGTTGATCCTTCTCATTAGAGGGCTGTGGTGGCAGAACGTGGTCTCGTTACAATGTGGTGAACTTTTAGAGACCACTGTTTGCCCTGTTGAATATGCCCAACTCATTTCATCCTCAAAATGAGCATGGCCCTGGGACGGGGCTTAGTCGCAGAGAGCTTCTGTGACCGGCCCAAGGCCACATCACATGGATGGTAAGTAATAGCGAGGGGGTCGGTATCCTGATTCTGTGTGGCATCGTGCTGGTCCTCACAGGTGACTCTGGCCAGATCGCACTTCAGTCCTCAAGACTGTCAAATGGGATACCTGCGGGATTCTGCGGGTGCTCTGCAGGGTCAAACGATGATGTGAGTCTAGGTATCTTTTTAATCCTGTTGGTCCTACAGGTTTTTTATTGTGAACTATCTTGTGGTAGCAGATCAGGGAAGTCTTTTTCTGCTGCAGAATTTAACAGCAGGTCACTTGCTGAGTTTGAAAGTCCCATGGACCATGTCTACTTCCTGCTGACTTGTGTAATCAGAGCATTTGTATGGATGGGTCCACGTCATTGAAGAAAGACTTCTTCTAGATACCTGAAATGCTGCGTGGTTGCACTTTCTAAAGTCCTAAGTAGTAATAAGATCCCTTTAAGAATTTAAAGGAAAAAATCAGTTGGGTGAAAAAAGGGGGAAAATATTCGTATATGCATATACGCTGCTTGATTATTCCATTATGCAGGGGTTAAATATTTACCAGATTATTGGTTTACCAAAATGTTTACCAAATGTCTCTAGGTTTTTTAAATATTTTTTTATGAACTTTTAAGTGTTAGAAATGTGTTTTAGAAAAGAGGTTGTTGGCATAATTTGGGTATTTATTTGGAAAAGGGGTGTGCCTATTTGGATAATTGCATTTCATGATATTTGGAAAAATACAATTGGAGAATTACAGTTCTAGGGAATAATTTTTCCAAGTGCCTGTGGTTATATAACAGAGTCTTGGCTTTAATTACTGAGCTCTCATTGTTTTGTGAGAGTATGTTTGTTTTATATATTTATATATATGTTTTGCATGTAGTAAAATATATTTATTTTTGTTAATTAAAACAAATTAAAATTGAGAGGTGGTGTTGGAGGTTTCTATAGTGGTGATTTTATGATTTCCTTGTGAGGTAGCTTGTCACACGTCTTATGTGTCAACAGCAGGGCTGTGGAGCATTTTTTTTTTTTTTAAGATTTTATTTATTTGACGGAGAGAGACACAGCGAGAGAGGGAACACAAGCAGGGGGAGTGGAGGAGGGAGAAGCAGGTTTCCTGCCGAGTAGGGAGCCCAATGCGGGGCTCAATCCCAGGACCCGGGATCATGACCTGAGCCGAAGGCAGACACTTAACGCCTGAGCCACCCAGGCGCCCATGGGCTGTGGAGCATTCTGTAGAATTTTTTCAGACACCGTTCCTTGCTTTCTTAATGTATGAACATAGACGCTCTTCTTTCTTAGAAAAGTTGTTTTTAACTTAAATTCTGAGCTTTATACTTAGAGTATGTAGGATTTATTACACATGTTGAGAAGTGAGTTTCATTGTTTTCTTGTGTGTATGTTTTCCATGAATGTATTAACATCCTTTAGATTTCTGTTAGAACCATAAACACCATTTACAATTACAACATGTTGCCTGATCCCCAAAAGATACTATCGTACTCGCTCCCCAGTGGGAAGCCGCTGATGAAACAAAAGATATCTGATGGTCTGGGTGGAGATTTGCAGAGAACATAGACCTGTATTGACATTTTTTTGACTCTATTTCTTAATTAAAAAAGAAAAATCTGTCTCCAGACTTTAGAGACAGATAGTGTGTAAGCTAGAATGGATGGGAAGGTTTCAATAGGTCTCTGTTGAGAGCAGGTGCTTTCCTGGTAAGCAAAGGACAGAACCTTGGAAGTTTTACTCCATTCATTTAAAACCAGCACACAACAATTCAGTATTATAGGCACTATAAAAAATGATCAAGCGAGTAGATAAATCAGCTAAGCAGAAGTGTATATTGGTTATCAACCGTGACTTGCTGTTTTTAAACTATTTAATTAACCTCATTGGCATGTCACATCGAGGGTGAGCCGTAGAAGGAGAGAGGTAAACATCCTGCCCAGGGGATATTAGGAGAAAATATTAAGCCTTTACTTCTGTTGTAAGTCTGTTGTACAATGGGTACACAAAGGCTGAAAGTAAGTGGCTTATTCGAGCACTTTGTCTCCACTATTTGGCCATCTTAGTAATAGGCACATACACTGTTAACATAATTTAAGAAGTAAAGGTGTGTTTTTCATTATTATCAAGACGCAAAGTAGTGACCCCTAATTGGTATGGTCTTTACCTAAAGAAAAACCTCCGATGCTGACTGATGAAATTACCCCACTTTGTGATCTGCTGTATTTCAGACGTACCAGAGGGGACAGAAAATAATAAATACCCACACTCCTGGAACCAATACTGGCATTTGGCCGCGTTTGAGTCAGATTTTTAAAAAAATGAAAGCATTGTAGAGTAGAATAGAAGACTAAGTCCCCTACAACTCTCTGTGCCTCACATTCCACATCTATTCATTGGTGAATCCCGTTGGTACTTTTGGGATCTGACCGTGTGTCATCACGACCACCCGGTCCAGGCCACCATCAGATCTTTCTCTTGGCCTAATGCAGTGGCCTCCTGAACTCCTGAGTGAGATGGTCAGGCTGGTGCTGTTAAGATGTACATCATGTTAAGATCGCCGTGTTAAAATGTCCCTCCTGTCCAGAGCCTGCCACCACACTCGGTGGCAAGTGCAGATCATGGTCTCAGCCTACAGCTCCCACTAGTTCCCTGTCTGGCCTCATTTCATAAGATGCCCTCCACCCCCATCTGCCCAGACCCACCGGCCTCCTTGTCCTTCCTGGGACATGGCACTCTGGTCCCCTTACGTTGTCTGTCCTCCTCCTCTTCCTCCTTCAGTCTTGATGGAGGTGCCACCTTTCCGGGGTGGTCTTCCTTCACTGTCCGGTTGAGTATCAATTACAGATCTCTCCCCCCAACATTGTATCTCCTTCCCTGCGTGGCTTTGCTGCACAGAACTTTTTAGCATGCCAGATACAAGTAATACAGATTTTACTTCTTTGTCCTGTTTTGTGTGTGTCTCTCCACTAAAGTGAAAGATCCAGAGAGCAGGGATTTTTGTCTTGTTCTCTGCTCATCCCTAGTAGCTAGACTAGTGTGGCTGTTGGTCAGTATATGTTGAGCATTGAATGAATTGAAGTCCTTCCTTCATTCTGTGCTCCACCCTTCCTCTCTGCCATGTCTCCACCGCCCCTTCCATTCTCCCCCCATCCCATACCCACCTTCCTAAACCTGTTACACTTTTACTGCATCACTGTGAGGCTCTCATTGTTTGCTTGACAGCAGATCTTTTCCAATATGTGTATACATAGTATTATGCTATGCCTCTCTTTATGTAACTTTTACCCTGTAGCATCTTGCAGATCTTTCTTCATGTTGATGCAGTCAATTATTTATTCACTTTACCTATTGAAGGAACAGACCTTAATTCTTGAAATCCATTTCCCGTTGAAAGACTTTGAACAAAGGTCTTTCCTGTTTTCCGTGTTGTGAATGATACTCAAATGTGCATATTTGTACATGTGCCCAAATGGGAGAGATCTCTCTGGGGATATACCCAAATGTGGGATTGCTGGAGCTCCCATTTTGCATCCTCCTCACTACTATGATTATGCCTTAGGCTCAAACATTGCCATTTTGATGGCCGTGAAATGAGTCTCCTTCTTTTGCTTTGGTCCCTAACCAGTTCAGTGGAGCAGTTCATCATGCGCTTGTTGACCATTTGTATTTCATTTGTATTGTTGATTATATTTTTTGCCCTTCTTCTGTTGATTATAGAAATATTTACGTTTGAATGTGAATTCTTTCTTCACCATGCACTTCACAATATATAATAGTCTAGGCTATGGC